CTGGGGTGCAGGGAATGAGGTTCTCATGAACACCACAGGCAGTGCTCTTTGTGGCTGTGGACTTCAGTGAAGTTGAGGACTCCCCAGCCTGCCGTGGCAGGGGTTAGGAGGATCGCTGTGAGTTTTAGGCCAGCTTGGGCTACATAGAGAGGTGCTTCCTCAAAGCAGAACATCACCCAAAAGAACCAAAAAGAAGCCTTGTTACCTTGAGCAAGTCATCAAGCCGTTCTGCTCTTTCAGTACAGCTTCCTGTTCTAGACAGGAAGGGACTGGGCTTGAATTTTTAAAAGCCTTGCTTTGTTAAGTAGCTTAGGCATGGGCATGCTGGGTGGGATGAGACACCCACACGTCTCCCGGATTTTGCAAGCCAGAAGCTTCTCGCCTGTTGGGTGGGGGCGCCACGGCTGCTCCCAGGGCGCAGGCTCTCCCAGGGCTTTGCAGGTCCCAAGACACGGGTCACTGAGGCTCTGCTCCAGCCCGCCGGCCCCTCACACTCCCGCTTCGTGGCCCTGGGAAGTGAGGTCCACAACTCTGGCCTTGCTGGAGGGGCCCCTGCCAGCTGACCTCTGCAGGGGAGGTAACAATCTGCTGTCACCTTCAGACCTTCCTGTGTTGCTCTTCCCTTCTGGGCACTGCTGCCAGCCTGGGCATGGAGTACTGGCCTCCTGGTGGGAAGATGGTACATTCACTCCCTCCTGTGTGTTTGCAGGACAGTGCGGGACAGATTTTGTGGCATTTCTCAATTCAAGGGTAAGGCATAGACTTGCAGAAGGAAACGAAGGGGCCTGATTGCACATGCGAATTCCTCATATGCAAATTAAAAGCAGAGAGCGGTGCATCTCCATACACTGAGGCTCATGGCTGCTTCCGGGTGTACTTCTGAAAGAGTTCTTTGATATTTCTGTCGGAGTCACTGAATGCTCCATTGATGTGAAGTCATATGGCTTTTAAATAAAAACTTTCTTTTTAGCATCTTAGAGGAGAAAGGCACTTGGAGCGCTCACCCATCTTGTGACCAGGAGCCAGGAACCTTTCAGATAGATAAGGTCTCGGGAGATGGGGCTGCTGTATCTGTTGGTCCCGTTTGTGATGATTATCTGAACTGATTATTAGGGACACTTTTCTGTTTGAGCCAGAGAGGCCTGAACTTACCCTACCAAATAAGTCTTTAAACACAAAAAACTTTGAAAAGAGAATTTCTGTCCTCATTCAACAAGCAGAATTACCAATCCTTAGAGGGAGAGGAGAGTCCTAACTCGCACTAGTCATCAGACCTAAACAGGCAGATGGACTATTTCCTGGTCTTTGAATATGAAAAGTACTAAAAAAGTTTTCCTTGTGAGGTTGGAATTTCAAAGAGGTTCTCTCTGGAAAGTTGGCAAATATTTTCCTGGCATGAAGACTGGTTTTTCTTTCTTTCTTTTTTCCTTTTCCCCTCCACCCGAAGCCCTGACAGGGTGGAGTATACTTCCATGAAATTGCATGTTTCCAAAATAGAATTCACAGTTGTGTTTTACTGCTGGTATAATTGAATCTCAAATCAAAACTGAGTAGAACCCAAGCATTCTAAAATTAGAATTCCGGCTCCTATTCCCAACTCTGTTCTTCGTATGGGATGCAATTTTGATATTTTAGCAAAGTGCTTTTTTCTGTAGCAGTGTCCCAGCCAGCCCATTTCCACAGCAGTCTAAATTTCATCCTTGGCTGTGCACACTGATGTCGTCGTAAGAGTCGAAGTCGGTGTCATGTGGCGAGGGCACTGTGTCATTACTGCTGCCCCCATTCCCTTGTGGTCTGGGTGGCATCCAGGACACAACTCGGCTTTTCTCAGCGCCAGGCTTTCTGTCCCTGAACACCCCACCTCCTCAGCCGGGAGCTGTGTGAGAAGCGAGTGTGATCACGGTGCCCTGGGTCAGGATGGACGGTGGGCGTGAGGTGAGAGCAGGGAGGAGCCAGCCAAGGACAGCAGGAGCTGTGGCGCTGCCAGATCCTGTGTGACACTTGGTGGGTGGCCTGTCCTGAGGGAGCCCCCTGATAGGTACATGTTCGACGATCACTTCCCCTCCAGTGTGAAGTTTAGAAAGGGTGTAGCTCTGGCAGATAATGCCGTGGTAAGTTCTTCCCAGAGTTTATTCCCTGGTTGGTGAGATGACGCACTTGAGAAGCAGGGCAGTGGTCCCAAAGGTGATGCCCAGCCCCAAAGGGCAGGCACTGCCTTAGCTTTCCCTGGGAGGACACGAGTCCCTAGCCAACCCAGCTCACCGGAAGTCCTTAGCAAGCGCAGTACCCGTCACATTGATATCCACCCATCTCCCTGGCTTCCAGAGCAGAAGATAAGAGGAAAATACCAGGAAGCTTGCTGGGATGAGGTGACCTTTCATCGCCCTTTCTGACCTTGAGATCTCGGAGTGTTGAGGACCTCGTCATGCCTTTCTCAGGATGCTTTATGATTCCTTCCTGACTTGGGATTCCACTTCTGGATTCCTATGGGGAGGTTGTTCATTTGTTTGCTGGTTTGTTTTAGAAATCTTTCAACTTCATGGAAGCAAAGCACAATGAGACCCTCAGACTATATCCAGGGTGAGGCGAACACTTTTCTTGTTGTCTTCTGTTCTTGTACCCCAGTTTTGAAGGCGGGGTCTCCAGATGTGAAGTGGCTCACCTTCAGCGATGTACCCGCTTTCATAGCGCACTCTTGGCACTTCAAAGGGGTTTTGTTAACTCGAGGACCCTCTTCCCTGGCTGGATTTTTGCTGTGTGATAACTGAGGAGGTTACAGACGTGAAAGGCCTTCTACAAAAGACTCCCGGGTAGTTCCCAAAGACTCTTGAAGAGCAGCTTACCCGGCATAAATGAGGGGACTTTTTCCTGTTCCTTGAGAGCTGGCCCAGGACAGAAAGGGGAGTCAGAGAAAGCAAGAACCAGGCCCCAAGCTGGGGTAGTACCAAGGTGGCAGAGTGCTGAGAATTCTGGGGGAGGGGTGCTGGGGAGCAAGCAGGAAGTACGAGAGTCTTCCAGGTGGGTCCATGTCTTCCTTCTGCGGTTTGACCCAGGGGCCGCCCAGGGGATGCAGTAACACTGTGCATCATAAATTTGTTTTTCAACATGGATCTTTTACTTATTTCATATAATATAAAGCTACGCTTGGAGTTGTCAGAGTGCATGTTCCTTGAAGCAGAGGTGCTAAAGTAAAACCTTTTTGTTGGAGCCCTGGTGGCAGAAGACAGTTGGGGAAACTGAGATTGGTGGCTGTGGCCCGTTCAGACTTCCTGTCCTCTCTGTCCTGGGACCTCCTCAAGGGCTTAGCAGAAGAAAAAGCAGGAAGAAATTTTTACAGTTTGTTTTATTGTAGCAACTCAGAATGTTTTGATTTTTAAAATTTACTCTCTAATTGCATCTTTAAATTCATACAAAATTTTGCTTTGAAATTTTTACTTATGTGGATTCTCTCCTGTGAAGAATGGAGAGGTAGGTCATGGTTTTGCTTTTCCTTCCGTGATGTGCTATTACCAAACATTACCCTTAAGAGCAACTACATACACACACAGGAAGTAGCTATGGTTTTGTAGGGTGTTAGAAGTTATCCTACCTCGTGTTTCCCCCTTCTTAGTCTGTGCATGTTCAGAAAGAGTGAAAATGCCCCTATAGCGAAGGGTTTTGGATCCTGTGCTCCCAAATGTGACCTCTTTTCCTGTCTGCAGAGACTTAGGCACATAGAGGAATCATGAGTGATGAGATCAGAGTTGCCCGTGGCCCCAGCATGGATGAGGGGACACAGAGCTTTTCTTACCCACCAGGGACCAGCCTCTGAGGATCACTGGAGACACTTGTCATCCTTGTTCATTAATACCACCAGTGATGAGGACAGGAAGTAAGATGATTGGTCAACGGTGAAACCTGGAAATTGATTATGAATTTGTCAGATGGGAGGCCGGGTGAGGGGAGGAGGAAAAGGTTATTTTTCTTTTCTCTGGTGAGTTTCATAAAGAAGGGTTTTTAGTTGGCCCCTCTCGTATCTGTAGTTGTTTCACCAAGGCTTGGTGTGGCTTTGTGTTGCCCTGGAGATGCAAGAGGAAAGAAGTGGGGGCTAGGTGAGGTGTGTGGAATAGCTGTCGGTTAGAATTGTGTATTCCAGGGAAGCTGGGCTTTGGTCACCTCTGGTGTTCCTGTATTGAGCTATTAAAGTTATATTGAAATAAGCTTTGTAGTTCCTAGGTGACTTGGCAGCATTAGCCAAGAATGATGCTGGGCAGATGTGCCTTGGAAAGGTGACTGATACGTATGGGTGTGGTCAGAGGGTATGATGTCCTTGCTGGAAATGTATGTGGTGTGGAGGCTTCTAAATATTTAGAGCGCTGTGAGGTTACAGTTTTATTGGTAAGGAAGCAGTGCGCTGTGGTCGGAGGCTCAATGCTGTCTGTGGGCACATTCAGCCCGTATTTTTACTGGTAGGAGTTATATTTTGTGAGGAAGTTGCATTTGATCAGATTTTGAGAAGTCACAGATATGTAACGTGAAGCCTTGTTCTGCAAAGCTGTATGCTCTCCGTTAGCAGAATTATACATTACTTGACCCATTTGTGATCTGCTCTACTGCATTTAAAAGACGGCGTGCTTCTAGGATGTATTCAGGAAATGCACAGTGTTGGTGGAGCTTCGCCTGGGGCATCGTCCTTCACGTCCAGATTCAGAAGAGTGAGTCATTCGTGGTCTTCCTTAGGTAGAACTGGTCCTTGTCAGTAGCTCCTGCTGGTCCACAAGCAAGCGAATAGAGGGGAGCACTCTCAAACTCTGAATGACAGGACGTGGCACCGATGACATCAGGCAAAGACAAACCCAAGCACAGGTCACTTGCCGTCTTGCATAAAGATGACCTTTGTCATCGCCACCTGCGTGTCTTGCTTTGCTCCCTGCGTTTTTCACCCAGAGACCCGAATGTTACAGAAGTATGTTTCAAGCGTGTGTATTAATGGATGTTTCTTCTTCTCTTCCCACGAACAGATATCAGTATTACCTGCAAGTCAAAAAAGACGTGCTTGAAGGGCGGTTACGGTGTTCGTTGGAACAGGTGATCCGGCTGGCCGGTTTAGCAGTGCAAGGTAAGACAGGGATGACCAGCGCGTGAGCTTCTGCTGCAGTTTGGGCCTGGTGTCACTGGCTTCCCCTAGTGGAAGGTTACACGTGCTTAAAGCACTCTTTAAGAATGATCCCTTAGGGGCCAGGGAGATGGCTCAGTGGCATAAGTACCTGCCTGGCAACAAGCCCAAGGTCCTGAGTTTGATCTCTGCGACAAAAACAAAAACAAAAACAAAAAAAACAAAAAGGGAATGCACCCTTGGTATTTGGAGAAATCTTACATTAATATGAAAAATGAGCAATTTGGGGTCTTCCACCGGTTGGGTTTCTCAAAGCCGTTTGGGAAGGACTTGTGCTGGTACAATTACAGCTAGATTTGAAGGAATTGCAGCTTTCGTCCTGCTTTTAATTGAAGCTACATTTCAGAGTTCGTGGAACATTTTCTCAGAATTGTTCCACTGCAAACGTGGCCATAATCCATGGCTAGATGTAGAAATGTGCCACTGTCATGGCTTCTGGTGTGTAGTTTTGACCATCCTTGTGGAATTTATTCACGTACAGTAGGAGATAAATTTAAAATCCACAATGGTAATGTGAAACAACATATACAGCCATAAGTTTATATTTCAACCTGCCCTATTTGTATCAACCGGCTATGTTACTTACCTTCACTACTTGTTGTAAGTAGGCTGTGTGTGTGTGTGTGTGTGTGTGTGTGTGTGCGTGCGCACATGTGTGGTCAGCTCAGCCCACCCTGAGGGCAGGGTTGGCGCGGCATGTGGTGCCAGGGATCGAACCACAGTCCCTGCGCTTGCCTAAGCTTGCCTAAGCAGGTGCTTCAGACCACTGAGCTGTCTCACTGGCCCAGAAGACAGTCTTTTGACGGGCCTCCCTGTGGCTTTGGAAGCAAGCTCACAGCCAGGTGTGAGCCTGTCAACAGCTGAGCTTTTGCTGCACGGACTGTTACCGGCTTAGAGGCTGCCATGCGAGCTTCCCTTCTCACTCTTTGACCTCGCGTGAACCTTCTGGGTTCTGAGTGTCTGTGAATTCACCCTTCGCTCGGCTTCTTTCTTCGTGGGTGACTCACGGCGTGGTGATTTCTGCTGGCCACTCCGCTCCTGCACAGTTTGCACCTGTTGTTACTCTGGGAGGTGACAGAATACGCTGCGTCACATCTGTTAACTTGGTCACTGGAAAGAGAAGAATCGTGGCTGGTTATGGTAGAAGTAGCACTGGCAGCATTGTTAGGAGGGGGGAGCACACGTGTCACAGAGGAGCAGGAAGGTCCATTATGCGCCCCATCTTCAAATTAGACCCTTCCCCTTTTGCAAAGCTTTGATTGAAACGCACATCAGAGATACACCTTTGATGGAAGATCATGACTTGTGATTGAACTTGAAAAGAGGAGAGTGAGTCAATTTTGTCTTTTCTGTTTTATTGAGATGAGATCTATCTGTGTAGTCCAGGTTGGCCTCGAACTCAGAGCAATTCTTCTTCCTCAGCCTCCCAAATGCTGAGATTACAGACAAGTGCCACTGTTCCCAGCTGACTCTTGCTCTTCTTGACGCTGTCCCCAGTTGATAATTAGTTATGTGGTGCCGATACACTTGTGGGTGCATCTTTGCCATCTCTCGTGAGTTCTCTGTTGACCTGGGTGCGTATGTGTAGCTGGTCGTTCTAGGGCTGTTCTTGCCTTACAGAGGCCTTAATCTGTGTCCGTTGGATGCTGTGTCGGTATCAGGAGGCCAGGGTTCCACGGCTTCATTTCCCATGTGCTTTCGCACACCCTTGTGAGGTGAAAACAGGGCTGAACACTTTTTGGTGTCTTGCAACATGTGAAGCTGTTGAGGAGGTGTAGAGACGTTCGAGGCTGCTTGCCAGCAGTGATTTACAGGGGGAATTTCCAGCTGCAGATAGAGGACAGACCCACATGGGTTTGGCCCTGCAGTTTTCCAAATTAACCTCAAGTTAAAAAATCCCCTTGGCAGAGATCTTAAGAAATGGACTGGGGCACTTTATACAGTGAGAACTAGAGGTTTGTTTTAAGCTCTTAAGGTAGCCTTTAGGAATGGCTTTCATAGTTCTCTGTTCCTTCTGAAGATTGTGTAGTGGTGTCCACCTGTCGATATTTAGGGTAAGGGTCATACCTATGTCACAAACATCCTTGCCACTAATTTTATACAATAGAGGCACAGAGATAGGAGGAAGAAAGAATATCATCTGTGATGACAGGTTAGCCCTGTTGCATTCCAGCTCATTAACTGCAGTACCGGTGCCCGTCTCCCGTTCTTCTCTTCTCAGCTGACTTTGGAGACTACAATCAATTTGATTCTCAAGATTTCCTCCGGGAGTATGTGCTATTTCCTATGGTAAGTGCAACTTCTTTGCTTCTTAATGCTCTGCCTTCTTTGTACATTTAATTTTTCCCTTTGAAAAAAGGAATGATCCATGTACAGCATGTTCCCTCACAAGGGAAGTCCACACATT